TGGAGGTCAATTTCAGTTTCAAGTTATCTCTGTTTGCTTTCCAGCTGTCAAGATAGTTAGGTTTGTTCTAGAAGTCTAGAATCATTGGTTAATATACACCTAGATATAGAAGGCGTTTTCTGTGACCAATTATTCGTTTGCCCGACGTCTCGAACTCTCACGCGAGCCCATTTTCAATGAATAAAAAAGTGTGCAGCTCACTGCATATTTAGCTCACTTCTACCGGGAGTGACCTTCAGCTCTGCGATTGATTTGTTCGCGCAACGTCAGATAAGCACTCGGAAGATCGATATGTCTATAAATGGAATCCGCGCGTAAGTGCCTTGCTCCTTGCAGCAGGCCTAAACTTAGGTCGTCTAACTGGCCCACTACTCTCATGCTGTCGAAGTCGAAGCTGTGCCCTTGCTAGGATGCGTGGGTGGCTACCAAGGAAAGCTTGTCCTTCCTTCTCACGATAAGTTCGTGCTCGCGCGGTCTCGTGAGAACCCGTTTGCCGATTTTACCAACATAAGTGGCTTGACCACAACGACAGTAAATCCGTTAAATGACACCGGCTTTTCGGTTAAAGGGTATTGGGTCTTTAGGCTGCATCACGGAAGGGATGAATGAATGCATTATGAATGGATATCCTGACAACTTCGTCGAAAAATGCAGACGAGAAGCGAAAGGAAGGAAACCAAAAGGGCAGCCAGAACCAACATGCTGGCGAGCAATACTTTTTATTGCTGTTACATCTGAAGAATTCGCTCGACTAGTCAGTGAATTCGGGATTGGCGTCGCTCACACACCGGAAGCGACAATCCGCCGGCAACTCATGCAATGTATTCTAACTCCTTATACTATTCACTTGGTCCTAGCCGACGGGACTCAGCATCCCAAATAATGCACTGCGACCATTGGTCATATCGATCGCGTTATGAAGGGAAAGCATATGCCTGCCTCTTCTGTTCTTACCTATTACATTAACGTGGGGTTTTGACTTCCAGCTCTTAGCGGAGCTCAACGATCAAGGCATTGTAGAACAAATGTTTGACATTAGTGCGGTGTCAGCTTCCCATGCACTGAGGGCACGTGTTTTTGTTCTGGAGGGCAGGCGATGCGCGCATCCTCTGCGTTCATAACCCTTACGAATATCTATAGGTCGCTGTCCTAGACTTGCTTTCTTTAGAACAGAAGTGACAGTCTATTACATGGAATTGAATCTGGTAGGATTCCACAACAGCTAGGGTTAGATCTCCTCTTTTCTTAACTGCCGCTTGCTCAATCTGTAACTTCATTTGCACTTGTAGGTCTGACGCGGATCAAAAGGAAGGTAGCGACCACCTGTTTTCTCCAGACCCGTCACCAAAGGCCTATGTCAGGGAATCTCTTATACTCTGTACCTCACCCCTGAGCCTGAAACTCTTTACTATAGAAGGCTCCGAAGTGGACTCAGTGCCGATTTCGAGCACAATGTGAGTCGATAAAGTTACTCCTGATTTCTGCTTCCATCATCTTACTTTTTGTATTCTTTTGTTAATGCGTCTTGCTGGTTCTTTGGCCTCACGTTATCTACCACGAATTCAGTGTCTTCATAACAATTTTGATAGGTTAAACCTCTGATATATCCCGAAAGGTTTAATTTGACCGCGAAAACTACACTTGAATTCCTTTCATGGCAGGTATTTGCCGGAAGCATTTCCTACCGATCCATTTTTTGCCAGCACGGCTAACCGCTGCTAGCTCGTTGCTGACAGACTATTTTTCGGTACGATCATTGCGCTTCGGTAGAAAACCGTCGAATGCAGTCACTCCGATCGAGTATTAGATGCAGCATTTTTTCCCTAAGCTGGTTTTAGTTGGACGCTTCATCGTCCCATTACTTCGTGAAGGATAGGTTATCTCATCCTACAGAATTTGCTACACATACCTACCTACTATAGTTATTTTAGTAGGTCTTGTATTGTATATTTATTATAACGATGGGAAGTAACCCTTTGTGCGCTTGAACCTCCACGGCATCTTCAGACGGTTTCTTTTGTCTAACGCATACGCTGTGACTATATTATGTTTTCAGAAATACTAGCTTAACCTTCTTTGCCTAGCTGGTACTCACCAAACAAGGTATGCTATAGGGATCTTCGTCTTCGTTATATTGCAACTGTGCCCTCTTGACTTCGGGAAGGAACGTTATGCTTCATGATGATTTTCAGGAGACGTTAAGATATTTCTAGAATACGTGCCATCGTCTGACTCATTATGCTTACTAATGATGACTATCGTTTATGCTTACCAGGTAGAGTTGGTTCGTTATATTGCTTATATATTCAAAATTTAGTCAATTGACATTTATAATTTATTTATTAGCTATCATGAACTTATAAATTATTAATAATCATTGTCGATTTGTTGTGTTTCGGGAATGCTGTTTCGCGGGTATGCTGCTTCTACTTGACACATCTCCGAGGGTTCCGGTTCATCAGTGGGTCCGCCAGCTTCCCCTGTTTGCTTTCTAGTTCATATACCGGTTTTGAAAGTTCAGCTTTCTAATTTCCTTGCAGTAAGTGCGTATTTCACAGTGGTTGACGGATTTCATCCCAAATATACACATACTATTTTCTTCTCTGCCTATAGACCTTAAATACACTGATGCATAGCGCGAATAGAAATTAACTTCTGGGGAAAGTAAAAAGCCGAACTGTGCTCCTTATTTACGTCTCCTAGTATTTTTGCCTCTACATTTTGGAACGAATTACCATTATTTCTCCACCCGAAAAAAGCCTTTTATCAAAATCCCAATTTTACACGAGTCTGTGGTTACTGGTTACGAGTGGAGTTACACTCTTAAACCTCTAGTAGCTGAAATAGTCAAAAATGAGCCAGGCGGCTCTCGCAAGTCGTATTCTGTCGCCTTTCTAGCTGCTTGCATCGGGCCTTACCCTCTGGGAGACCAATTTTTGAAGGTTCTGAGCTTTGCCCTCATCGAAGATATCCACTATAATCCAAATCGGTTTACTACGCCCCCCCCCTTGTCTGTGTGCTTTCCAGCATTCAAAGCATTCCTTCCCCATCCTGCAACAATATCTCATGCGCGTCCTGGCGGTCCCCACTGATCGCCTTCGGCACCACGGATGGCTGTATTGCAGTGCGAAATCTCCAGCGTAAGGAAACCCTCATCCGATCGATGTCCTTCGTAATTGCTCCGCTGACCTCCACTCGTTCAAAGCCAGCGAACGCGGCGCAGACCTCGCCTGACT